GTGTGCGTGCCTCTGGGTAGGGGTGGGGGCTGCTGGCCCCACCCCTACCCCCTGGCCACAACCCCTCTGGCACCGCTCCCATACTGTCTTTGCCCCACCCCCGTGGCCCCACCCCATGCTCAGGCCCCACTCCTTTCCCTCCATGGAGGCAGTACCCCTGCCTCTTGGATCCCAACCCTGTGGTGCCCTGTCCCTTCCCATGGCCTTGCCCCACCAGCTCAGGCTCCACCCCCATCCCATGGCACCACCCAACCTGAGCACACCCCAGGGCCCCGCCCCTTGGCTCCATCCCTACCCCTTTTAACTCTTCCCTCCATTGAGGCACCCCTGCCCCTCAGCCCCCTCCCCATAGTGTCCTGGCCCCACAAGGTCCCACCCCTACCTCCTTGCCGGTGAGGACGTGTCGGGCCAGCTTGACCTTGGCGAAATTGCCCTTGCCGATGGTCTTGAGCAGGCGATAGTTGCCCACGTGGGGCTGGTCATCAGGGGCGGGGGGCACGGGACGGCCCCGCAGCATGGCAGCCTTGCCGCTGCCCTTGGTCTCCGTGGGGCCCAGCACTGCCTGGGGGGAGGGGGACAGTCAGGGGGGCGGCAGGGACTCCGAAACCCCCCAGGCTACAGCCCCCCTCTCCCAGCTGCAGTGAGGGCCTGGACAGACCGGTGCTTCATTTGTCACCCAGAGTGATTTGTAGGGGTCAGTGACCCTCCCCGCCCCGGGGTGAAGGGTGTCCAGAAAGGGGACAGGACCCAGGTGTCCGGGCTCACAGTCCTGCTCCTCTGCCAGTGAACACAGAAATCCAGGCTCCCGGGACCCCCACCCCAACCCACCAGCCCCCACCCCTCCTCACAGCTCCAAAGAACCCAGGCATCCGGGCTTTTAGGCCCCTGCTCATAGCCCCCAGACCCACTCCCTTCTTGGAGAGTCCAGGGTCCCAGTGCCCCTTGCTCTCAGCCCCCACTTCCCTCCCAGAGCTGGGGAGAACCCAGGTGTCCGAACTCCCAGGCCATACCCCCCAGACCCGTTCCCTTCTGGGCTTGTACTCTGGGGAGGTCCGGGCTCACCCCTCCCCAGACCCACTCCCTTCCCAGGGAACCCAGGCGTCCGGGCTCCCAGCTTTCATCCTGCAGACCCCACTCCTCTCCCGCAGCAAGGAGAGAACCCAGGCGTCCGGGCTGACAACCCCTGTCCCCTGCCAGCAACAGGCAGGTCCACCAATGAGAAGCCCAGTCAATTACCTGGCAATACCCCCCACCCCCTCCCTGGATCCCGCCCCCCAGGAGGGGGGCGACATGAAGCCCTGTGCCATGGGCTCCCAGCCAGCCTGAGCCCCCCAACACACAGCCCCACCCCTGCTCTGCCCCAGGAGGCTAGCAGCTGGGTGGGGAAACTGAGGCACGGACAAGCAGTGCTAACGTTCGTGGGGGGGTGCAGTCACTGTGCTGGGGGAAGAAGCTGGGTGTCCGGGCTCCCAGCACTTGCCCTCCAGCCCCCACCCCCGTCCCAGAGCTGGGAGGGACCCAGGCATCCGGTCTCCCAGCCCCCACCCCCCTGACGAGGAGGAAGTGGCCAGGCGCTTCCTCATTCACCTGTGCCAAGCCCACCCTGGTGCATTGTGGGTAACAGCCACCCAGCACGGGGTAAGGCCAGGTGAGGTGCCCACCCCTGCCCTTCCCATGAGCCTCTCTGCCTGGCAGCCCCCCCACAGGGTGCCACACGTGGAGGGGGCCTTAGGGGTCCCTCTGCCCATATGCCTTGTGTCCTTCCCAGAGAAGCCAGGCATCCGGGTTCCCAGCGGCCCCCTGCTCTCACCCCCCAGCCCCACTCCTCTCCCAGTGCTGGGGAGAACCCAGGTGTCTGAGTGCCCAGGCTCCCACCCCCCAGCCCCACTCTCTTGCCATGAACCCAGGCGTGTGAACTCCCCCCCCCCTACCTCTCCCACCCCCCAGCCCCACTCTCTTGCCATGAACCCAGGCGTGTGAACTCCCCCCCCCCTACCTCTCCCACCCCCCAGCCCCACTCTCTTGCCATGAACCCAGGCGTGTGAACTCCCCCCCCCCTACCTCTCCCACCCCCCAGCCCCACTCTCTTGCCATGAACCCAGGCGTGTGAACTCCCCCCCCCCTACCTCTCCCACCCCCCAGCCCCACTCTCTTGCCATGAACCCAGGCGTGTGAACTCCCCCCCCCCTACCTCTCCCACCCCCCAGCCCCACTCCCTTGCCAAGGACCCAGGCGCGCGAACTCCTACCCCCCACCTCTCAACACCCCCTAGCCCCACTCCTTTGCCAAGGACCCAGGCATCCAGGCTCCCACCAACTCACCTCTCATATCCCCCAGCCCCACTCCCTTGCCAAGAACCCAGGTGTGCGAACTCCCAACTCCCCCATACCCTCCAGGCCCACCCCTTTCCCAGAGAACCCAGGTGTCCGGGCTGGGGGTTAGCACCCAGGTCCCTTCTTCAGAGCCAGGGGGGAGGGTAGTTCAGGGCCCTCAGGCTCCCTGGGGACAAACCTGCCTCCCCCATTCACCGGGATCTACCCTCGTGGTCGATCACTCACCCTAGCCACCCGCGGGGGCCGCGGGGAAGGCCCCCTGGAGCTCATCATAGCAGGGGACAGGTCCTGGGGTGGGGGAGGGGGCAGGAGCCGGAAGGGGGGCCAGAGCCGGCAGCGCCGGGGCAGGGGGGTTTGGGCACCGGAGCCGGAAGTGTCGGGCCCGGGAGCAAAGTGCAGGCGGGCCCCCCCCAGCCCCGCCCCCAACACCTGAGCGAGCCGGCGCCTGCCCGGGGAACCCAGGCATCTGGGTTCCCAGCCTCCCGGGCCCTCCCTGCTCAAACCCACTGGTCCTGACTCCCCTCCCAGGGTACCCAGGCATCCGGGCTCCCAGCATCCCCTTGCTCTAAATGCCCAGTCCCCTCCTAGAGGACCCAAGCATCCGGGGTCTCAGGCCTGCTGTCACCCCCCAGCCACCAATCCTTTCACAGAGGACCCAGGTGTCGGGGTTGCAACCCCTCCTGCTCTCACCTAGCAGACCCCCCATCTGGGGAGAGAGAACCCAGGTGTCCGGGCTCCCGGTCCCCCCCTGTTCTGACATCCCCAGCCCCAATCCCCTCCCAGGGAACTCAGGCATCCAGCTTCTCCCTGTCCTAACCCCAGCCCCAGGTCCCCTCCCGGAGTTGAGAGAACCCAGGTGTCCAGGTTGTCCCCTACTATATATAACCCAGGCTGGGGCCAAAGAACAGGGGCGTCTGCGAGCCCGCACACCTGCGTTCTCTGGGAGGCGAGTGGGGTTGGGGGCTGAGAGCAGGGGATCTGGGAGGCCGGACTCCTGGGTTCTCTCTGGCTTTGGGAGGGGTGTGCGGGCTGGGGACATGGGCCCCTTGCCTAGTGCTGGGATGCGGCTGACTATGGGGGCGCTGGAGCCAACTACGACAGAGGTGGTGCCGGTTCTGTCACCTGTTCATGTTTGCTGGTGACTCAGTGTCACAGAGGTGCGGCTGGCTCTGGGGGGTGCTGTGTTGTGGGGTGAGTGTAACATGTGTGGGCCCCTCGCTGGGATGCAGCAGAGCTGGGGGCATCAGGAGGGGGCAACTGCTCCCATGACACAGATGTCCGGGACATACTCGCACGTACACACACAGAACTCAGGTGTCTGGGATACATGTGCACACACATAACACAGACATCCAGCAGACAATGTACACACACAGAGAACCCAGGTATCCCACACACACACATGCAGAACCCAGGCATCCAGGACACACGTGTGCAAGCATGTGCATGCACACACACACACAGAGCGCAGGCATCTGACATCCCTTCCCGCCAACCCAGGCATCCAATGCACACATGCGCGTGTGCACACAACCTAGGCATCTGGGATACATGCACACACAAAACCCAGGCATCCGGGACACGCACACAAATGTGCGCACACACAACCTAAGCACCCCACCTCCCCCCACACGCATGTGCATACACTCTCTCTCAGGCTCCAGCTGAGGGGGCGGCTGCAAAGCGGCGCGGGGCTGGCGCTTGGCGCTCGTCAGTTTTGCTCCTGGCAGCTGGCGCCGCCCCCCGCCCCGCTATATTTACCAGCGTGTGCGCCCGTGCCCCCGCGCCCCCCGTACATGCGCCTGTGCTGATCCAACCCCTGTGCCCCCTTGCCACAAATCTGTGTCTGTGCGCATACCCCCCTCTTTGTGGCAGAGGCGGGGGTGGCACAGGCTATTTATACCTCAGATCATATCCCCTCCCGGCCTCTGTAGCAGGAGACCGAGTCCATGCTAGGGCCCCATGTGCAGTGCCAGGCGCAGGGAGACCTGAGGCCACTGCCACGTGGCTGCCCCTCCACGTGAGGACAGCCCATGATCTGTCCCACCATGGGCTTGGCACTGGCAAGGCAACTGGTATGCTACTGACACGCTAACAACATGCTGATGCTCTGGGCATGCTAACCGGCACACTAATGACACAATGACCATCCCGCTAACAGACGTGCTATGGCCATGCATGCTAACAACACACTAACCAACAAACTAAATGACACACTAACATCATGCTAACTGGCAAGCTAGGGGCACACTAGCATCACACCGACCAACATACGAACCGGCATACTATGGGTATGCTAACAACATGCTAACTAGTGCACTGCGGGCACACTAACCAGTATGCTCACCAACACAGACACGCTACCATGCTAACCAACAAGCGATGGGTACAATAACCAATGTGCTAAGGGCACAATACCAACTAGCATGCTGACACACCAAGGGCACAATACCAACACGCTTTCCTCCTCCCTGGCAGAAGCTAGTGCCCCAAGTGCCCTGTGATGCAGCCCCACCCCACTGTAAGCGACACCCCCTTCCCCGCAGGGTAGATCCCAGGCATCCTTGTGCCTCGTGCTTGGCCTGGAGGCTGTTGGGAGCCTGGGGGGGGCCTGGCGTGTGAGCCCCAGATCCACCCCTCCAATATTAGCAACATTATGGTAAGGGCCATGAATACATAGGCTATCCCTCCCCCTCAGGTGTTACCGTAAGGCTACTAATACAGCGCATGCAGAAAAACAACTGATCTTGGGGCGGAGCAGGGTGTGAATTCAAGCCCAGCTGGGCCATGGGCCAAATTTGGGGGGTGCCCCTTCCCCCCTCTGTGAGGCTCCCTAGGCCCCTACACCCCTCAACAAGGAGTATTTTTGGCTCAGCAAATCAGCTGTTGATGGTGGTTGCCATGGGAACCGGGAGCAGATTTCTGGCCCTGCTGGATATGTCTAGTGACCCCCCGGTGCATGCTGAACCCATGTGTCCAAAATGGGGAAGCCAGGCATCCGGGATGCACATACAGAACCCAGGTGTCCGGGATGGGGAGCCCAGGTACCTGGGACCTGCACAAATGTAACCCAGGTGTCCGGGATAAGGAAGCCAGGTGTCTGGGACCCACACATAGGACCTGGGACACACACATGGAATCCAGGTGTCCAGGAAATGATACCCAGGCAGCAGCCACCGAGCAGGCTAAGGGGGCAGTAGTGCTGCCCGGTCTGGCATATCTCAACAAG